CGCAAGAATTTCACCGTCGCTGATTTCAACACAAGTCAGATATACAGACTATAAACCGTCAATTCAGTATAAAAATGTACGGAATGTTTACCGTGGGCTCCACTATAATTTTAATGAGAAATGAAATTTACCGGGTCCGTGGTCTGGCATTTAGCCAATTTCAACTAGTTAATAAACGCTTGCATTTATACGTTACTGCATATATTGAAAGCGCCCAGACAAAATTATTTATTTTGTTGTCATCATATTCTGCGAACGAATAACTGTCTGCTGGAAAATGCAGTCTGCGTATATGTTAGTGTTCATCTGTGCTGTTCTACAGAAATTAGAAACTTCGAAGGGAGCGATAGCCACAGGAGAATGTTTCTAATTTCTGTAAAACAGCTAAGGATGAACACTAACATATTTAGTGTCAAGCTTTATTTCAGTCCTATAAATATGACGTCGCTTTGAGATATTTTTTTTTCTGGGCAAAGCAACGTCATATATCGAAATTGCTCAAAAACCCATAGCATCCCAGCAAACACAAGACGTCATACTGACGTCAGATTTAAGTCAGGTTTTGACGTCGGATGACGGTCGGAAAAACGGTTGGATTTGAAAGTTTCTTTGACGTAATAATCTGACGTCAGGTAGACGTCAGAATCTAACCATTATCTAACCTTTTTCTGACCAAAATCTGACCATTATCTAACCATTTTCCGACCTCAATCTGACCATTTTTTGACCTTAAATCTGACCATTTTCCGAGCTAAAATCTAACCAGTTTTCTAACCCATTTTTCCAACCTCAAATCTGACCATTTTCCGACCTAAATCTTTAACCATTTTCTGCTCTAAGTCTGACCCATTTTTCTGAGTTTAATCTGATCATTACCTAATCCTTTTGGTTTTACCACGTTATAAATATTTTCTGGGCTAATCCTGATTTGATCGAATTTAAATGTAACTCATTCTATTAAGTAAGCTTTTCAATCCAATGAAATGTGTAAACAAAAAACTAAAAGCAAAATTATGTTTTAATGTTTTTTTATTTAAAATAAAAGTTCCAATTTTAAGCTGATACATACAATTTTAGTAAATTCTGCAAGGCTAAATACTTTTCATAAATTAAACAAAATAAAACATAAAATAAGTTAATAACAAAACAAAAAGTATTACAAAAACAATGACATAAATGAAACTAAGAAAACATATACCAGTCTGTGCGAAAGTCTGTCGGTCCTCGGTCCTGGCTGAATAAAAATCATGCGGTCCGAGAAAAATTCCTTTCCGTCAGTCCTCATGTCCGAATAAATTTTTTAAAAAGTTAAAAAAATAAGTGACCTAAATTGATAACAAGTTCCCTGTAATGCAAAGAATTTTTTAAAGATGATATTGACCAACCTTAGATCTATTTTGTACATGTCAAATAAATACCAGTCAACTCTGTCTTCAAAAAGCTTTATCAACAACGGTAAATTTTGCCGTAAATTACAGATTTTGAAAATTTTGTTTATGATGCCTGTTGAAATAGCCGATGAGTAACAATCTTTAAAATAATAAAAAAATATTTAATCTAATATAATCAAAATTCAACAACAAGTAGATTGTGAATGTTCTGCAGGAACCAGACAAATTTTTCAATTGTCACATATTTTTCGCGATGCCGCTTTTTATAATTAAAAATCGTAACCAAAAGGAAACTTTGATTTGTTAAAATGTGTGTAATAACACTTAAAATTACTAAAGATATTGTTCACATTAGTTGAGATGGAGGAATTTACCAGTATGTGTTTGTCACAAACAATGAATATTTTCTTATGGGAGGGGGTGTGTGGAGTGAATCTTGAAGAAAACAGCATAATGGTCTGATGATGTAGGGTTTTTGAAATTATATTTCATATCCTTTCAATCACTTTTATGGTACAGTGTATTCCATTTAAGACACATTACCATTTTCCTGAATAATAAACTTTTTCTCTGTTCAAACTCCGACTCTCCAACTTGACTTGACTTGATGGTCTCACTAGTTTAATGAAAGACAATCATTTTTACATTCAACAGCGTTATTATAAAAATAATGCTTGAAAAGTCTGGGCCTGAAAAACATCATCCGGGCCGGAAATAACCTAAAGGTCTCGGTCCTTGTGGCCTGAAAAAAAAAATGACTTTCGCATAGACTGATATACAAATATTAAAGAACAATACAATGTATGTACATTTCTATCAAAGTTTGCCTTATCAAACAAAACAATGAAAACATTATAATTTTAAGAAAAGTTAAAATATTCGGATAATAATGTTTCAAGCAATTAATGACAGATTTTCAGTATTTTAACTATATTTCTACAGCATTACTAAAACATATAGTGACATTTTGCATATTTTGACCTCCTTTTGATAATTGTCACTAAGGTATAAATTACTTCCTTTTAGTTTACTTCACAAAGTTATACTTTTAAATATCCATGAGAATTAGGCACGAATTTTAGAGCTGTGATGGGCTTTTAGATATGACCTTCTCTAACCATCCCTCGTCTGTCCGGAGGATATGTTAATGTCCAATAGCGTTTTTGATATCATTTTCACTGAAAAAAAAAAGAAATTATGAAAAATGGAAAAATAACAAGCTAACATGTTTTTCATGGTTATCTGCCCTTTTTAAAATTTTGAAAAGTATATCTTAACCTATGAACAATTTTGCTAGCTTTTTATAAGGGAGAGCTTTAACAAAAATTGACACTAAACACGAATACTGAAAAAATTAAAAGGCTGCTTTAAAAAAACTCCAGTTTAGTATGGATTATAAGTATGTAATAGAATTTACAAAAAATCTTACTTTGGCCATGTTTTCTTTTTACATTATCACGTGTTTTCTGTCCCTCCCGACCTTTTTGAGGAGCATGTCCAACACTTGGAACTAGATCTACCTGAAAAAGAAAAATTTATATTCCATAAATTTCATGTATGTATATTCTATGTTTGAAATAGAACAGTTACTCAAGTTTTTAAATTTTTCATAGTTTCAAATTAAAGTTTCAAATTCATTCTCAATTCTCAGATTTTTAACTGGACAAAAACATCACAGTTTAAGAAAAAATTATTTTGAAAAAACTAAGCATTCTCTTTGGAAGTACTGAAAGGCACATTTTAAGCAGAGTTAAAACATGTCAAATTTGAAAAAAAATTTATTTCAGACATTAATCGCGAAAATTGTGTGACATTTTGCTTCAACTGTTCAAAATAATGATAATTAAATTTTAAAAATGCCTTGCAATCATGCAATTATTTATCAAATACCAAAGTAGAAATAAAATTTAAATTTAAATGGAACTGACCTTTTTGTTTCAAGAAAATCTAAAATATTTTCATTTTATCAATGCATCCCAATTCCTGACCGACAGCCAAAAACGTTAACGCCTACGAATTTGAATTTTCCATCCACGTGGGCTGTAGGTTTCGAATCATAGGGTTAATTATGTTTTTCTTTCCCTTTTTCTGACACTATAATTTAAAATCTTAAAGCCACTTATTTTAAAAACTCGTTTGATTTTGATACATATAATGTACCACAAATGATAATATTATAAACGTTAAATGATTTGGAAAACTCGAAAAACAGATCTGTAAGCTATAAATAGATTTCATTAACAATAACACATGTTTAACTTTGCCTCCATTACAGCGGCCCAAACCTTATATGTTTTATTAGGATTGCAAGGCCCCGCGATCTTGGTCACATTGTACTTTCATTTGTAAGCCAAAATAACAATTTTTGAAAAAAAGTTTAAATGATTCTACAACAACGAAAAAGGATTTTTTTTTGTTAATTTTTTTACCTACCGTTCAGGACCACCGACCCAGAACCTGAACGTTAAGTCACGACGTTCAAAAAAAGAAACGTTCTGAAAGATATCGGTTTTTTTTAACGTTGAGATTACGTCGTATTTTGGTCACCGACGTCGTGACCAAAATCTAACGTTAATCCGACGTTATTTTAACGTCATGTGTTTGCTGGGATGTTCCGCCAGAAAATCGGGCGGAACGAAAAACAATGAAGACAGCGTGTATTTACATATGTTTTGACCTATTTAATGAACAAAACTAAAAAATAAATACCTTTTGTCAAAATAATTAAACTGTCACATCCGAAAAAATCATGATTAAATCCTCTCATGTATTTCAATTCTTTTTACAGCGATAAACAAATGGCGGCCATAAAGTGCGCGAAATCTGATTGGCTAATTCAAATGCAAGCGTTTAACTGAGTCAGAACAATCTAACGGAATATTTTTTTAACGAAATAATTGCCCATGCACCGTCAGTGTGTTCGAATATATTTTTCCGTTCAAAAATTTGGAATCAATCTGTAAAGCACCTTGCTTAACCAGTATGGCTGAATAGACAAAAATAGATTGATGTTTATATTTTATTTTAAATTGATAAGTACATTGTTTGAGAGTTTTTGTGTATGATTGAGCATGAAATTGAAAGAAAAGGAGATAAGCTTTTGAATAAAGCTTGAAAGGCAAGACAATAGACATTTTTTGAATTTTTTATGATGCTATGCGTTTTTGAGCAATAACTATTAGACGTCAGGCTTGACCGACATAAACTATAACAAGCCTGTAACGTCTAATATATTGGACTAGCTTTATTTGGCCCTTGATTACGTCACTAGGCGGTACTATGAAGCACTATGAAAAATAGAAGGCGACTATGAACGAATTTCAATATAGTATCGACTTTCTTTCTTCTATGAAAATTAACACACATAATTTTTAAGAAATACAGCGTTATTATTGGATGACAAATAATCCAAAATAGCAGAGATTGACCAATTTCTTCACGAAAAATATACAAAATATTGTAAATAAAACTTATAAAGTGTTACCTGTTTTTTTTTTACATTTTTGTTAAATTTATTGGCATGACCCTTATGAATTTGAAATGACCCCTAAAATATCATACAGGGGGTCATAAAAGACCCTCAGAAAATCAGAGCTGACAGAAACACTGCTTAAATGTCTTCATTCTTTTAGAGAAACACTTCTGGGGAGCCCTCTTATCTGTTATGTAATCTAAACATATGGCTCCAGTGTGGTGGTTTGCATTTTTTTGCTGTCACCATTTGTGCAGTCTTCTGTCTAGAAAATAGTTTGTGTGTTAAAATACATATTTACAATTTTTATAAAATATGATCAAAAGATGTTAAAAATGTATGTCTATGTAGTTGCATAATTTGTAATTTTTCAATTTGAAATGATTTTATATCAAAGTATATAATTATGTAAGACTTATGCATAAGATATTAATCAGAGTTGTTAAAACAAGAGCTGTCACAGGAGACAGCGAAGCTCGACTAATGAAATACTGGACGCAGTAAGGAGGACAAAACTATGAAAGAAAAATCAATTATGTATAATTATGTATTAAGTTACTGTAAAAAATAACATTTGTTAACATAAATTCCAAGATCAAGGGGAATAATTCTAGAAATAGTCATGCTAGAGTTATGGACCTTGCCACACAACATTTGTGTAATGATAAGAAATATATATTTGAAGTTTGAAGTAGATACCTTAAAAAATAAAGAAGTTATTATATTTCTTAAAGAAAATCCTAAGTTCAAAGAGAGATAAAGCTGTAAATATTGCTTCAAGAGTTATGAACATTGTCACATAAAATGTAATTGATGATAAGGAATAAGTATTAGAAGTTTGAGGTAGATACCTTTAAAAATAAAAAAGTTAAAATAAAGAATAACATTTTTCTAGTAAATAAACTAAGTTTATGGGGAGATAATTCTTGCAATATTGGTGCTAGAGTTATGAACCTTGTCACATAAGATGTTGATGATGATAACGTAAATATAATTGAAGTATGAAGTTGATCACTTCAGAAATAAATAAGTTACGGTAAAAAATAATATTTTTTATGGAAAATTCTAAGTTCAAAGGGAGATAAATCTGAAAATATTGGTGCTAGAGTTATGAACCTTGTCACATAAGATGGGGATGGTGATAACATAAATATATTTGAAGTATGAGGTTGATCCCTTAAGAAATAAAGAAGAAACAGTAAGAAATAGTATTTTTTGAGGAAAATTCTAAGTTCAAGGGGAGATAAATCTGAAAATATTGGTGCTAGAGTTATGAACCTTGTCACATAAGATGGGGATGATGATAAGGTACATATATTTGAAGTATGACGTTGATCCCTTAAGAAATAAAGAAGTAACAGTAAAAAATAGTATTTTTTAAGGAAAATTCTAAGTTCAAGGGGAGATAAATCTGAAAATATTGGTGCTAGAGTTATGAACCTTGTCACATGAGATGTGGTTGATGATAAGGAACATATATTTGAAGTTTGAAGTTGATACCTTAAGAAATGACAAAGTTATGGTGAAAAATATTTTACTGCACCAAAACTTTAATCTAAAATCTGGACGCGGACGCGGACGCCGGGGCGAGTAGGACAGCTCTCCATATACTTCGTATAGTCGAGCTAAAAAGGATAAAATTTATCCCACTTGATCAGTTACATAATTATATAGCTATGGAGAATGTGTATAATTTTAGTGTTTTAAATTGTTTAATAAAGAAATGCACTGTTTAGTATTTTCAACTAGAGTTCAATTTAAAGAATTACCTGTGTGTCAATTATTTCCACAGCTGCACACTCTGCTGGGGCATCACTTGTAATTGGCAGCTCTATCTCCACTTCTTGACCCTTGATAAGAAGATTTACTTTTACAGTATGTACATTATCTTCTTAAAACAATTACTTTTTGCAATTAACATAACAGTACCCATAAATGTTGGAAACATTTAAACATTGGGACAGAGGAAAAGCTGGTTAGGTTATTTTTGTCCCATCGGGAACATAGCTTAAGGTCCATGACTATTCTTTTTTAAATTTAGTATTAAGAATAATTATTAAGGCTATGTAGTTCAAACAGAAAACGTGCTGTCTCACGAATAATCATTACAAATAGAATATTTACCATTTCGATATCTGCTGAAAAGTAAACATGGTCAATGTTTGACTTTTTGTATGCAGTACTTATATCCCTGTTTCTCGTATTCTCGGGGTTTCTCGTATTCTCGTGGAATCATTAAAACGGATGGAAGCGACGCTCGCGACTTCCGTCGATATCCGAAAACATGTCTATTTAGCAGAGCATTTTCATCTCCATTAAAAAAAATAAAAGAAATGCGACAAAAACAGATAAAAAACCAAAATAACTGTGGAAATAATCGTAAAATCCAGAGAATAAACATTAAATTTATCAATTTCCCCCAAAAATCATCAATTTTCTAGTTTTTTCCATGTTGCAGAAACCTGTAGCGGGTCTCTGACGCAAGACGCTTCAAATGACGGTCTCACACTACTATTTATACAATACAGCTCAAAATATTTGTTCCACGAATAGACAGTATAAAAAAGATATGAACTCCAATTAAAAACCAAAAATGAAACATTGTTTGTCCTAAACACATTTCATTTTTGACAACTGCAATGGAAAACAGTAGTATTCATTTTTAATGTTCATATAACTAATAAGTAACTAATAAATAAACGTAAACTTAATATATATTAGAGAGATAATGTAAATAACAACACTAAATGGAGTTCAAACTATTTTTGGAACAATTAAAATCATTTGGTACCAAAGAGGCGTCAATATGATCCTTAAAGTTTGTTATGGCCTGCCAAGCTGTTATTAAAACACAATAAAATTATAGATTTAGGCCATTTAACACTTAATTAGGTATGGCACTAATGATTTGAACTGGTATGTAGAATAAAATCATCACATAGCGACCAGCCTTAACAACCAATCAAATTCCACGAGAATACGAGAAAGCACCTGCTTCACATAGAGGGTGAAGGTCAGTATATACAAGCAGAAATATCTTTTGTTTTGCTTACAATTACGATCTTTCTTTCTTTGTATTTTGTTAATAAGGTATTTCTCTGTGTATCAGGCTAAAAATACTGTAACAGAATGTTTTATAAATATTATGCAACCAAGTTTAGTCCTTAACCCCCCGAGAATACGAGAAAACAGGATACAGTATATTTGCTTATCTGAAAGAAAAAAAAAATATATATTCTAATTGTTTTATTGGTACATATTTTATGCCTTTAAAAGAGGCAAAAGCAAAAGACAAACGATATTTCTACTTTATAATTGGGACCAATTGTTTTATTTACATTTTTCTTGGGATAAAATATTTTTTTATGTATAAAGATATTGTAGTGTAAAGTCCGTATTACCGCGTCTAGCAGTTAGCCATACCTATTTGTATACCTAGTAGTACGGATTTTAGACAATCAAACATGGCACCTTTTAATTTTTTTTTTCATCTACATTTTATTATAGAAATGACGGACCGTGAAAAGATTCACATACAAAGTTTAAAAGTTAAAAAGAGTAATTACATCAGTGATTTCTTAAGATTAATGCTTATTGTAACATTTCATTATAAAATTCCTCGGTGAAGATATGCAAAACCACGGATATCTTACCTCAATTTTTCCCGCTCTTTCGCTTGGTAAACCTAAAAAAATGCGATTATCAAGCGTTTTTTGCGCAAAGAACAATAAAAGACACCACTGCCAGAAAATGTCGCCGATTTGGGAGACAGCCTCTTCATCTGGAGACAAAAGTAGGTAATTTTTTGTGCCAAATGTCGCTCGATCTGGAGACATCTCCCGATTTGGAGATAGTCTCCAAATATGTGAATCTTCCTTAGCTGTCCAAAAATTGACCCTATTTTAATCTGATTATTTCTTATTTTGTTTTGTTATTCATAAATTTTATCCCAAACTACTTTGAATAAGTACCATTTAATTCTAGCAAAACAGGATAATTTTATTTTTTAAAAACAATGACTATAAAATCAGGATCATTTGATCCTGATATTTTTTTAGTGAACACAGAACTCCTCACAGTGATTACCTCCCTTGACAGATCTGGAGTCTGCGTAGGAGATTGGGCATACTGGAGTCTAAACTAATGACTTATGTCTTTCTTATTAGTGAATATGAATAATAGCATCAAACAGCATTTACCTCCTTTTCAACGCAAAACGATTTCTCGATTTCAACCACGTATGTTTTCAATAACCTTTATGAGTTTTTGTTTGTTTTGTCTTTTCCATCTGATTCTGAATCTTGTGGCGCGAAAATATTAACTCACTAATTGCTGCGTTCACGGTACTGTACAATCCGGTCTGGCGAAATACTGAAAAGAGATTCTTGAGCGGAACGAACTTAAAATGACCCAATAGTCATAAATCGCAATTAAATCTAAATATATCTTTCGAAAAGTGACAAAAACTAAAGAATGAATATTTATGTTATTAATTCTGCCAATCCATTAAATTATATTTTTATGTAAATCAATTGCAATGAAGCCTGTTTGGCATCCACAATGTCAAATTAAAGGTCTCTAAAGAAATCATATTGCTCCGGTCTATTGAGTATCTACTTGACAGAAGATTAAGTATAATCTAAAAGTGAATCTTTTCAAAAAGCTTAAGGCTTTAGGTATAAAGCAGCTGTCATTTTCCTCTACCAGTTAAGCTGAAAATTGCCATATGATCGTAACAGTGATGTTGCGACGTGACACGAATTACTGCCGGGGAGTTATTTAATTTTAACATAGTCTCATACAGGAACAGTCTTACCGAAGCTTAAATATTTGGACTGAATTATTGCCTAATGGGAAAAAAGTCTGCATAATTAAGATTCTGGAGTTAAAATTGGCCCCAACTTGGGATCACTTAATTTCACATAGAGTCATATGTATACCCAAATGCCTCATCTTAGATATTTGGTTCGAGCATGTGCTTTTTGGACCTTATAAACATGTTTGCTAAATCATGATCTAAATCTGGCGCACATAATCTTACATGTATAGACTTATATACAACGATCAACAATGAAGAGCGCCTTTCATCAAATGTAAAAGCATGCGATTTGGCTCCAATCGCATAGGCATGGCAATTTAGGCCTGAATACAAATTTGTTTTTAGAGAATAAAATTTAAAGTTATCGAAAAAAAGTAAACAGAGAGGATACCTATTTATTACATTTGTTCACAATATGTTTTATTTCAATTACATTTTGTATCAATATTAAGATATACATTGATACATGCCAAAGCGCTATGCTCTTGTCTCGCGATTACTTAGTGACAATTATATATGCCGCAGCTTTCGCTGCGGACACCCCAGACATATCACCAGCCATGCACTTTAAATAAAGGCTTATTACGAAGCACAGAGTGATGATAATTTACGTCCATGAAATTGCCACGGAGATATACATGTATACTGAGTAAAAAAAACAACAATAATGATCGTTTTATGTTGGCTTTTAATGATAACGCAAAATATAAGCCTAATGATAATCATGATAGTCAACTGTGCGAAACCAATCCATCCCGCAACCAACCCACTGGACATAGCCATTTTGTAATATCAGGGAAATGATTTTTGAAACACTTGCAAGGTTTTCCTATGTAATGATACATGCCAAAGATTTAAAACTTTACATAATCTTGAAATAACACATGAAAATAAGTTTTTCTATCTATGTGACGCCTGGGGCAGGGCCAATATTTACCCCTTGAGCATGATTTATATAAATGCTGTTTATGTCGACAAGGCATGCTTCATGCAAAATATCTAAGCTTTTACATAAATATAATATTTTTGTGCATATGAAAATGTGTTATTATTACCTCCCCTGATTTAAAGCTTTTAAATTTCAGCAATTAAAAAATGCAGTAGTAGTCATGGGCTAAACTTTCTCGACTTATCATAATTGTTTTTCTTCCTTTAAACATATACAAGAATGTATTTTGTTTTAATGTATAATAAAACAGGTGCAGCCACTTTACATCAGCCCTTCAACCCATATCGGTCTTTCAATTTGAGAAAGACTGCCAATATGGCAAAACGGAGGTAGCATTGTAAATTAACAACTGGGGGTATTTTTATTTCTTTCTTTCTTTTTCATACTACCGGTACGGTAATTCAGACCAAAAGTTTGATAATATGCCTTAAAAAATCGACATTTTATATGTATCATTTACAACTTATTGTTATTTAGCGATTTTACATATTTTAAGTAACATCAGTTTCAATCAATAAGATTGTCTTATTTCAAAATAATTTAATCATATAAACCTATAATCTTCTCAATTATTAAAATCTAAACATAAAAAAATCTAAAACTGTTTGATTAAAAAGAGCATTAAAAGTAATAGATTTTGGAAATGAAGGGAGGTAACATACTCATTGTATATTGGGAGGAACATATTTATGAATTCATACATTGTAATCACCCTTTGTATAATATACACTTATATTGTATAATATACAACTATATATAAGTCATCATTATACTTTGACAAGTTAACATGTTGTTTGCACAAGTCATCACGATACTTTGACAAGTTAGCATGTTGTCTGCACATGTCATCATAATAATTGGACAAGTTAACATGCTGTTTGTACAAGTCAGCATGTTCCTTTGACAAGACATGATGTAAATTGCACATGCTAACATGCTCCAACGACAAAATAATATCATCGTTTCACAAGACAACAAAAACATTGATTACATAAGACAGTCACGGCGTTCCATATATATAAGAATTTTGAGCGAGTCATTGTGACCTTGAACCGAGGTAGTCAAAAAACTGCGCTCTGCACATCATCTCAGTTATATATAAATATCTCTGCCGAATAGCTTTAATGTCCTACAATCTTCTTAAAAGAAACAGAGCAAACACAAAATTTGATATTGCTACAAAATAAGTAAGTGTAACCTTGACCTGAGGAAGGTCAAAACCGCCACTCTGCACATCGTCTCATAATGATTAACATTTATTCCAAGTACGTAGTTTCAATCTCTTTCCACCAGTTCAAAAGATACAGACTGGACACGAAAACTCGTAGAAAAGTCTTTATATTTTCAATTAATCCACGAGGTGGGGCCAATTTTGATCTTAGGCCGTCCGAACTTGTGTTCTGCACACCGTCTCAATATAAGTAATATTTCTGCAAAAAAGTTTTAATCTCTTTTTACCTGTTCAAAAGATACAGAGCGGGCACAACATTTTGATATTGATACAAAATGACTAAGTGTGACCATGAGAAAGGTCAAACCAGCGCTTTGTGTATCATCTGATTATGGTTAACATTTTTGAAACCGAAAACAAAAACCTGCTAACAGACGGACGGGACAACCAGGTGCATAACAATATACGCCGAAATTTGTCCGGGTGTATAATAAAACGTATGATAATTCATTTTTCTGTACGAAATCTGCTGTGGTCATAATATTATTTTCAATTCATTTGTAAATAACATTGTTATATGTCTATTAACGGAATAATTTTAATGAACATGAAATATTAGTTCACACCTTAAATTTATGTGTATTGATAACGTGATGGTTTAAGCCAATGAAAACACATAAATATTATTACAATCAGGCAGAGAAAAGGTTTGCAAAGAGTAAATCGATAATCTTTATGTAGCAAACAAACTTTGAATTGCAAGTATTTTTTCATATCTTTTCGGCAGGATAAACTGTCCGAGGAGGGCATCGTAAAAATTAATGGCTGCCATTTACAGTATCAAGTGATTATCCCAAGCACCATCGCGTCTAAGCGCGGGAATGATAAATATAGCTTACCTCGACGCGTCGCATAGGATGGAAAATACCTTTTTCATATTTTATTGTACATGTAAAAAATATTTACAAACTGTGTTTTTCGGGTTTTTTTTATCAATATATAACCAATAATGATGTTAATATGAATAAATAATCATATCTCAAATCTGTGACTATGACTTACAATGAAATTCTACCTTTAGTGTATTAAAAAGTTTTCTGTAATTTTATTATGTGATTATGCTTCAAAGCAGTCAATTGACCGTGAATTTTCTTTTCATATTTTGATTTCCTTGAAATCACTTTTCTCATCTGAAGGCATGCAACTTTAATATGATGATACATTAATTACATTCCATGAAAATGTTTAAAGATATAAAATATCTCATGACATGTTTGTTCATTTTACATTACACCTTTAATGCAGCAAACATAAAAAGTCTTCACAAAAAGTAGTATGCAATCGTACCTATATTACATACGAATGTATGTAATATTTTTCTTGTTTACTCAAGTTCTTATTATTGCAATGCCTAAAACTTAGATATTTGGTATGCATCACTGTGTAGCATTTGTTAAAATCATTATCATATGGTAAAATAAGTGCCACAATTGATGTTACCCAGAGTCATGATTATGAAATACAAATTTTCTTCGTCCAAATTACAATTACAACAAAATATAACCGCCTTGGAAGTCATATAGTAACACAAGGACAATTAAGATAAAACTTTTTTTAGACTAGTTTCTTAATTTGGTCACTTCCCTCATTTAAAGGTTATTTTTGAATACTCAAAAAAATCAAAGCACTGAATGTACTGATGGGGAGGCTATGAGATAATGTTTCAGACTTATAGTGTCTTTTCTTTTTGCTTAAAATATGCTACCAAAATAAAAAGATATGCACATTGCGCTATTTATCCTTACTGTTGTGTTCAACCATTCATATATATGGTTAATGTGGTTGACTATTCATTTTGTTAATATTCCAGAACATTTCATTGAGGTCTACATTCGGACTGTTAATCATACAAATTTTGAAAAACCTAAACTGTCAATAATAAATGACATACCAGCAAGTATGACGACTGTTCATTATCAGATAACAATAACATTTTACAACTGACGGTTCCTTATCAAAATCACAGGAACTTGAAATTCTATCAAATAACCAATATTAATTATAATATCCAAATATACCCCCTATATACTATAAAAAAACACAAACACAGGAACTTGAAATTCTATCAAATAACCAATATTAATTATAATATCCAAATATACCCCCTATATACTATAAAAAAATTATAGTATATAGGGGGTATATTTGGATATTATAATTAATATTGATTATTTGATAGAATTTCAAGTTCCTGTGTCAAAATATTCTAGGACTGTTCATCATAAATACTTTATGTCATTTTAATATTATTGAATGATAATAACAACTGCAAGTGATGCAACATTTTTATTGAACATAAAAATTATACACGTTTAGATGTACCATAATTGAGATCAATAAGATACTGTCTTGTG